TGTATGTCTGGGCCTTTAAACCGTCACCCGTCAAGGGTGCGCGCTCAGCATTTGCTGTAGAGAAGTAGGTTTTAGTTGCACACGCTGACAGTATTGTGGTTGATCATTAGCTAACTTGACTCTACTGTAATCCATAGGCTGGGGACTGCCCACCTCTTTTTTACTCCCGTTATTTTCCTGTTTCCACTGTTCTTCCTCTGTATTCTCCCTGTGTTTCTTTCGCATCACCCGTGTTGATCCTGAGTCCATCGCGACAGGAAATCAGAATCAGAATCATTTTTATTGCCACGTAAGTAACAGGAATTGTGAAACCTGAAGATTAAACTAAACCTTACATAATAAATCCAAGTAACTTAATGTCTGCCTATGCCTCAATTATGATTTACGAACCTGTGCACCTTAAAGGGCTTGTTATTTTATTTTGGGCACTCTACCCTGGCGTTGCTGGTCTTTTTCTTTAATTTGTATTTTTATTTTTATTTTAGGAGCACGTAGCCGCCTCCACTTGCCACACTTACTGTATGTCACAATCAAGGCTGAGGACTGTATCCAGTGCCCTGACGTTTTCGAAACCCACTTTGCACTGGTGATAGTTTTCCCTCCCTTTCAAGCCTATAGACAACCCTAACCATTCTTTCCATAACCTTACACAAAACAGAGGTTAGAGCAATTGGTCGATACGAGCCTGCCTTAGATGCATTCTTTCCTGGTTTAAGAATAGGCACAACAACTGCCTGCTTCCACGCTGACAGAAGCTTCCCCTGCTCTCAAACATTATTAATAAGAGCCAACATTCATATAACACATTGTCACTCAATCTTTTAAGTAACTCATAACTAATCCCATCTTTCCCGGGGCAGACCTATTCCCTTTGCCAATAGCGCTTTCCAGCTCCTCCAATGCAGAAATACATATTACACACATCAGAATTGTCATCACTAACTTCGAGCTTGTGCCTGTTTTGGCCTGCATCCAAAGTATCATCTCTCTTCCTCCTGTCCTCCAAGTACGGCTGACCCTTTGTCTTCTAAAACTGGAATGTCAATTTTCTGATTAACTCCTGACATACGTTTCACAGCCCTCCGAATATCTTTCAGAGAGGTCTCTGTTGCCATTGTATCACAATACTTCCTCCAGCTCTCTCTTTTAGCCGTCTTGAGTATTCTGCTGGCTGTAGCCCTCAACCTTTTATTATTATTATTACTATTATTACTATTGCATTTTCTTGTTGGGTTTTCGTTTTCGTGGTGGGTATTTTTTACTCTAAAAGCTCTTTTCCTCTCCCTCACAGCATCTTCGCTGTTCTTTTTCCACCGTGGTACTTTAGCATGCTTTTTTTGAAATTTCTTTACAGGAATACATTCATACACACTATCCATAATTATCTTACACAAACTATCATTCCATTCACTGAATGTACCTTCCTCATTTATTATATCTATTCCTTCATCACATAACTTACAAAATTTATCCCAATCTGCCCGCTCATAATTAAAATACTCAGGATTATGCTTCTTCCTTTTCATTAAAGGTTTCCCAATCCTCAGGAGAATAGGCCACTCCCAACATTATCCTCCATAGCCTCCCATTTCCCACTCTGGACAAACCACTAGACACAAGAGCTAAATCCATACTTGAGTGAATGTTAAAATGTGTAGGCCTCCCATCATTCAAACAACCTAACCCCCTTGAATCCATATAATCTTCAATAACACCTCAATTTACATCCCTACTCCCACTCCCCCAAAGAGGGTTATGCCCATTAAAATCCCCTACCCAAACTATGTGACGCCCATTCTGTGCTTTCACATCCTCAAGCTCAAACAGCTGAATCTGAATACACGGGTTATACATATTTACTATAGAAATCCATCCCTCCTTACCCCATACCCTGACTGCTAGACACTCGAGTGAGGTCTTAAGGTCCACTTTTTGAAACTGGACTTAATTTTACAGCTTTCTCACCCCTGTCTAACCTGACACTATCATATCCCGGAATTACAAGGTCTAATCATGGTTTTAACCATGTTTCTTGAATGCAAATAATCTCAGGTGGTGAAATAAAATCACATAACAATCTCTTCAGCTCTTGACCATTAGCCTAGCTGCAGGACAGCTCAACTGGTGTCAAAATCTCCATCATCATTAAACTCAATACTTCATCCTCAGCAACTACTATTGCAACTATCTGCACTTGCTTGTGCACTTGGAGACCTACCCTACCCTCCTTTACTCCTTCCATTTTCTGTTTCATAAAGTCAAAAAGATCCTCAGGCACTACTCTGTTCCCTTCAAGAAATCTTTCTGCTGCCCCAGTCACTACTTTATCAAATCGGACCTTCTAGCACAGTTCCTTGCAGCCTAGTTTTACAAAAAAAAGTTCCCATTCATTAGCATTTTTACATCCAGACAGGCAGCCGCCTGTGATTTCTCAAAATTTATGAGATTAAAGGGTATGTAAATGCAGATTGGACTTTTCACACCCATGCTGTGTTGGGGAGGTTGTCATTTCACATCTTATTTTTGAGAAAATGTATATCACATTTTAAACATGAAAACAAATTGTTAAAAAGATATAAAAAATATCAACAATTCTACGTGTATATGTTTGAAGTGTATATGGGAAATGTGGAAAATTACCAGGAATTTTTTTCCCCCCATACCCAAGATTAATGGGTTTGTTCTGGGCTTAGGTCTGCTTGAGATGGGTGGGTAGAGAAGAGTAGAGGTGGAGAATGTTTTCCCTAGGTCGTTCCACACATGCAAAACATTATTTCACCATGAAAGAGTATGAATTTAATTAATTCAGATATTTTGTATATACCCACACTAAACATTTTGAATCTGTTGGTCTCAGTTATTGACCCTTTGATTGTGGTTATCTTGCAGTCACATTGTACTGGAGATGGATCCGTTTCACCTGGGGCCTGGCAGCAAAACACTCTGCGACAGCTGCAGAGTATGGGATCCTTTGACGCTGCAGATTAGGCCGCTGCGTTTGCGAAAACAGACATCTCCCACTGCGGAGACAGGGACAACATATTGGACTATTAAATCTGTTACGGACTTGGCTAATCATCTCCATTGACAGAGCGTTCTGCTCATACTGTCGGGAAGGGGCTTGTCAACTGTCAGGCCAGAGTTTTTGTTGCCCATGTGTTCCAGGAACCACGGGGAGTTTTATCATCAAGTTTGGTAGAAAAGACGCTCGCTATGTTGTGACAGCGCAGAGGAAGTGCGGCAGTCTTATTTCACCACTTCATGAGTCTGTCACTAATATGTATGCGTATGTCTGTCTGTGGTCCAGATTCAGGCTTTAGAAAAGTGCTATTTAATCGTTAGGTCTCTGTGTGCAGCATGAACATTCTGCAGAAACAGGATTTGAATTCGATTTAGACCTCAATTTAAAATGTGATATTTCTGGTTCTTAGCAATTCATGGAATATTTCGATAAAAACTACAATATTGTGAGCCTCTTCCAATAATCACGTTAATTACATTTTCTGAACAATTTTCCTTGTGAGAAGGATTACATCTCCCTGATTTTAAAAGTAGTTTAGTGTTAGATTTCCTCTCCAAGCCAGTGTTCTCACATGCAGGCTGACAGTGAACCGTTTACTGGGTTTGGACTGTGGTTAGGGTTAAACTGAGCAGAGGAGGGAGCTGTCACAGTGCCAGGACCGGTTAGAGCTGGACAGAGTTGGACACACCACTCACCTCAGGCCAGAGTCTGACACTAATGAGGCTGTTTGTGTTCCAAAGCACACGAAACGTTCTGACAAGTGATACGGACGAAAACAACAGCGCTGCACTTCAACTACTACCACAAACATCGTTCACATCATTTTAAACTCAATCTTCCATGTTGTTGTCAACTACTGTACTGTACTATTTCTATTTTGTACACACACTGATTGTAGGTGCGTATAACGATCCACACATTTGTGGGAGACTTTAGAGTTTGACATCTTGCACGTTATTTAATAACACAAACTAGCCCTAATATAACTTTGTAAAATTGTTCTATTTGTAATGTGAGAGGTGTGCCTATAATCTTGCCAGAGTGGAAATATGTTTATTGTTGTCCGAATCTTGCATTTCATGCGTGTTTTGGTGTGTTGTGATGAAGGTTGAGATGGGTGTAAAATGTACACCACCTCCTGACTTGGTGTAAATTCTTTGCGAATAGTACGCTCACGTCCAGATTGATAAATGCCGAAAAGTGTAAATTTTATACATGAGGGCCATTCTTTGCGGACCGTGGTTGTACTAACTCATGGAAGGAGAGTGTTATGATCATGATTCTTTAAGATAAGCTAACGGCCAACTACGAGGGCATGGCTGTGGATAGCAGATATGAAGTTTAAGAAGTTGCCTAAAAGTGCATGTTTGCTCGTATTACTTTGTTGATAAAAAGCCTACTGAGTTATCAAGCTGATCACACTGGTCAGGTCATTAAACAGAGGATTTATTTGTCTCGTAAAAACAGGATTTAGTTGTCTCGTAAAAACAGGATTTATTTGTCTCGGAAAAACAGGATTTATTTTTAAGTCATAAAAACAGGATTTATTTGTCTCAAAAAAACCGAAACTTTACTCATAAAAACAGAAACTTTTTTAATTCAAGTGAATGCGATAAGCTTAAAACAGAAACTTTAAAGAAATGAATGCAGTGCAAAATATGACCGGTAAAGGCAGCAATGCGCGAATAAGCGCCAAGTCTGCTGGAAAACAGAAAGAGAAGAAGAAGAAGAAGAAGAAGAAGAAGAAGAAGAAGAAGAAGAAGAAGAAGAAGAAGAAAACAGGAAGTTTCTTTTTTCTCACTTTATTTTGAATCAATACTGGCATACGTTGTTCAACAGTGGTAACAAAGTGCAATACATATCAGACAAAACAAGAACACAGGACGTAAATGTGGTTTTAACCGAACAAAGGCGGAGCACGAGAGACATGTTCAAATATAAGTCATGAACACGAATATATTTGAACAGAAGCGGAGACATGCTTGCGTGTGATACCAAGGAGGATTGTGACGACACGCTAGACGAGTGGTTCATCCATTCTCTAAAAACGTGAGGCCATTTCATATTTATTATACGCCTTCCAAAATGATGTCAGATGAGGGGTTTGCATATCTTTATACGACTATTTGGCAACAAGCGCAATATATGATATGTAGGGTTAAATGTATACTAATTCTCTTCACTTATAGCGCCATTCACAGACCAGATCACGAAGCGCTTTAAAATTGATGTGGTGGGCATTTGTCTCTCACCACACAGACATGGGAGAGGGCTCGTCATACAGGAGGCTCAATGCCAGGCCTATTGTACATATTTTTTTTAGTGGTCGGGGAGACCCAGGACCTTCTTTAACCACTACTCCACCGTGCTGCCCATAATGTTAAAGTATTTCTGCTCTTGCCACAGGTACACAGACCTGCATGTGTATCAGCTGGAACATCCTACACGTGTGCTGGAGTGGACCTCAGGCAAAAGTAATGAGTCCAGCTCCTCTTCTGTAAAATATTTTTTTACGTGATGGTATACTTATACTGCCTGCTTTCTTCTGGTCTCTACAGCAGTGTGTGTGGCTGGCTTTTCTCCTGCTAACAATGAGATTCTAGAGCTCAGTTTGCCGTTGAGACTGTTGGCTGAACAGAACAAGGTGAAGAAAAGATTATTCACCTCGTTACAACATTGTTCCTCAATAACACACCTACCCTCTCTGTCGTAATGCTGTGTTTTTAAACAGATTATGACGTCATGGACAGAGCTAGCCTTTTTAACAAAGAAGTATTTACTCTCAATTAGTTTTGGGAATTCTTCATTTAAATTATGTTGATTAAAAGGTAGTTGAAGTGAATACTTAGTTATACTAGTCAGAACATCACATTATCCACCCATACTCAACCCACTGTTTCCTTTATTTAGCTAATTTCATTCATCTCTCATTTCATTGTTCATCTGTATCCAAATATTTTCAAATTTACTAATTACATTCTAAAAAAGTAATTTACTGGCGTCAGGCAGGCATTTGTGTCAGAAGAACTACAGGTCTTATTGTATGAGGAACAATGTTGTACCGTGATTAAAACTCAAAAAAGATGATTTAGTTGTAATATTAGTGCTGGTCCGGGTCTGCCTGGTCTGGGTTCCTCAGCTGTTTTTCTGATCCCCATCCTCTGTCTTGTGTGTCCAGGGTCTGAGGGCGGAGCGGGACTTCAAAATTCTCCATGGAGGGTTCTGTGAGGTTCCTGTCCACAGCTTCAAGCACGTACCCGGGACCAGGTCTGCCAGGTCTTCAGTTTCCTAACAGCTGTCTGTTTGATTCTGACGGAGAGAAAATTGTTCAAAATCTACTTTTATACCACATGGGTGTCATGACTGTGACAACACTTCATTGTGATGAATCCAGTTGTAGACTTGATGTTTTCGGCTCAATATTTGGATATTTTTAAATTCATAACAAGGCAGTGTTTTCCCTTTTCATGTCATTGTATATTAATGAGGTGCGAGTAGGGGTGAACCATTGCTGTTGTTATTATTATGGTGCTAAACTTTTTTGTACAAGTGAAACATGAAGGGAAGATGGCTTTACAGATCCAGTAGATGGCAGCCAAACAAACTAAAAGCTTCTGCAACATTCAGTTTCATTTATTTCTGTATGATCCGTGGCCTTTAAAGCTGATTAATGCAGTTTTTCCTGCGTTGAAGGTGTGCAGTGTCCAATGATGGGTGCAGCTCTTCTCTTCAGCTGTGGGACCTGGGAGGAGCTCACACCGGTGGGTCCCATAAACCAGTGGTTCCCAAAGGGGGGGGTCGGCGCAGAGCAATTGTAGGGGGGGGACAAATTAATCAATGAAAATACAGTAGGCTTAATGACACTGCTAGCTTAAGATGGGCCCTGCCACTAGTTGGTCGACATGTCAGACTACCTCCCTGGCCCAAAAAAACTCTTAGCTGCCATACAAAATATTCGAGCAAGACCGCATTGAATCGGTGTGGAAATTATAGCGAAGCGAGTGCAGCTGCGAGGCAGTGTGCTATTGTTGTACCACACCAAACACAAACTTTGGACACTTTGCACAGAGTCAGCGGGGGGAACAGTGTTTCTCAGGGCCAGTGCTGTCATTGGGAGGTTCAGAGACAGGTTAGATTTGTAGCAACAAAAGCACAAGAGTTGTAGTGACACTCAAACGTGCGCTTCCCCCCTAAAAAAATCTTTTGTACCAAAAGGGGGCCCAGCAGAAAAGGTTTGGGAATCACTGCCCTAACCCATCATCATGATGGTCATAAGTGTTCATATCCTTGTTTGTGAAGAGAACAGGAATGTAACATAAAACCAGATGTAAATGGTAATTAACCTTTATCTCTAGAAAAGTAATTACACAACTACAAAATCAAGTCAAACACACAAGTCTCTCTCAGCATTTAAAAAAAGAATTGTTTGGCCGTGGCCTCATCAGCTAGTGGCGCAGATTGATGCGGGCAAAGAACCCATTGGCTATACGGGATGACTCCACACGAATGATGAATGAGGCCGAAGCTCAGGCGGGAACAAAGCAGACACACAGAAACCGAGGGAGACACACAACAGGGACGGGTGCTTTGCGCCAAGGCTCAGACCAGGAACTGTAACACCCTTGCTTCATTTTATTTCTCAACCATTTTTAAAAGAATGATGAATTGTAGTTAATCTATATTCCATCATTGTTACAGACGTGATCAGGCGAACAGGGCAAATCCATGTGGAAGCCCAGGAAGTGACAGGAGGGAGGAAAGTGTGCGCCCCCTTGTCCCACCACACATCTGGGACAACAGTTCTTCATGGAGCCATGACCAGCGACGTCCAGCTCACCAATATCAGCACGGGACAACTGCTTTGCTCACTGCATGGTATGTTTTCTTCTGTTGTTGTCTCATTTTGCATGCAGGCTCAGACCTCTCCTTTCCCAGTATACATGCGAGCTCAGACCTCTTTCTCAGTATACAGGCAGGCTCAGACCACTCTTCTGTCAGTATTACTTGCAGGTTCAGACCCATCTAACGTGTATCCCCCTCAGACTGTCCTGTGTCCCAACCTCTGTCCCACCTCCGCTGCCTATCGGATGGGACGTTTGCTGTGGCCTCTGTGGACGGCTCCATTCTTCTGTGGGACACTCGGTCTGCTGCCCGGCCCCAGCTTCGCTCAGACCCCCTGTGTATCCTGGAGCCTGGTCCATGGACTGCAGATGTGTTGGGGAACCTAGCCCTGCTCTCCAGCACCTCTGGGCAGACTCTGGTGTTGGACCTGCGGGGTTCTGACTCGTACGTGTCCCGCGCTCAGCTCAAAGCGGGAGGAGGGCCGAGCCGACATGTGTCCTGGGCCCCCGCACTGGACAATTACGTGGCTCTGTCAGGTCTGTCATATATATCATTTATATGCATAATTATATATACACATTACATCCACATCAAAGTATGGTTATGTATGGTATGTTGTTTTGGAAGAAACAATAAAGACCATACATGAGGGCCAATGGGCCTCATGTATGAAAATTGCGCAGAAAAAGGTGTACATTTTGGGTGTAGATCCCAGATACGCAAGATCTGACGAGGCATTTATGAACGTGTGAGATACGCACAGATCTGAGCGTACGCACCTGTGGCTGTTGATAAATGCCGCGCTCAAAACCAGCGTATTTATGAAAGTCACGCCTAATAAATATTCAGAAACTGCCTGTTCCACGCCCTGTTTTTGCGACAGGTCAGCAGGAAGTCGACTAAGAAGCCTTAGAGACCTTATGACGGGTTTGTTTTATTTAAAAATACAGTTTTAATACCATTTTATATTAGAAGAGAACTACTAAAGGTTTCAAAATCAGTTGTTGTTTTTTTTGTCTGATCCCCCCAAATCGAAATAACCCCATAGCAACGCCCTTAGAAACGAAAAAACTTCACAGCCCTTGGTGACGTCAGAACGGGTACGTTTCAACGCTGTAAGTTGTTTACAATTTGATATTCGTTCTTTTTTTGCGGATATTCAAGATGAGAAGGCCGTGTACAGCGAGTATGAGATAAATACTAGATTGCAAAATTTCGTTGTCACTGAGATAGTCCAGTGGTTGAGTCGATGGACTGCCAATCCAGATACTTGGGTTCAAATCCCACCTCGGACACTTTTTCACACTCAAAACGGCAATTTATGTGTAGTGAGCAATTGTCACCTGTAGAGTGCAGTATTGTGTTGGGCATCAGTGGAGAGAAGAGAGAAAAGGCAGTCCTGTGGCATAGATCCATGGTTTTCAATGCATGGGCGTTACCCGCTATGACGTCACACACAGGTTAGAGCATAGACAACTTAAATTCATGAAAAACACGTTCTTTTTATAAAATATAGGATTTTTTTTGCCGGAATCTCTTTCAAATTGACATTGTCATGCAATTTTGATATCCACTATTTTTTTTTTTAAAAACCCGTCATAAGGTCTTTAAAAAGCACGCACTTTTGAGTTTATTCAAGTTTAAAAAAAAAAATATATATATACGCTATATTATATATACACTTTTTTCCCTAGTGTCTAGACCCACTGCAACACTCATCTCTCCTGAAATTTCGATGTAAATAAATAAATAATAAATGACCTGAATGAATGAACTATACTGCTGGTGCGCGTCACATCCTATCTTTGCTCTGCGGAGTAAAGGGCAGTACCTGAGCAAGATCAGGTGCATTTATGGGACTTTATGCACAAAACTAAGGAAAACCCACATTGCTTTGCCAGAGGTGAATTACGTGCACGGCGCAGGGTCTGCCACAGGTTGTTCATGCATATGTAAAAAATAAATATACGCTACGCTATTTATTCAGCTGCGTTTTGAACAAATTTCCAGAAATGTTTTGGTAGAAGTGAATAAATAAATGAATGAATGAATTCATATTGTGCAGCAGTGGCTCTCATCAATGAAGCGTCTGCAGCATCTTGTGAATGCACTGGCGCGCTGTACACTTGCGAGAGCGTTTGCGGTCCAGATTTTACAGAGAAACTCTGGAGCCAAAACTTCTGAATGACAGCATTTGAGGAGTTATGTGGCACATCTCTCATGGCACCTGCTGTGGATGCACTTCCAAGAGTGCGCAGCGGGTGGACAGGGCAGTGAGACATTTGGAGTGAGCAATACCATAGTCCATCGGTCCATGCGTTAATGGGGTGTGTGTCTGTGTGAGGCTTACACATATCTAATGAAAACATACATTGCTTTACCAGATGTGAATGAGGAATACAAATAGCCGTGCGTAATTACGCAGCGCAGAGCCTGCCACAGCAATAGCTGGGTCACACTTCCCTGTCGCGTAAAGTGTATTTGTATAGACCCTTTCACTGTCCAGGATCACAAAGCGTTTAAACATTTTAAAAACATACAGATCAAAATAATACACACAGAAGTCAGATTTAAAATCATAGAAACAGAAGAGGCTCCTCATCATGATCTGTTATTTATTCGAAGTTTGCGTGTTTCCAGAGTGTTAGACTTTTTCTGATGTGCAAATTCAAATTCCTAAACATGGTGCTCCATGAAAACGCAGCTTATAATGTTGCCGGAGTGGGAACATGTTTATTGTTGTCCAAATCTTAAATTTCATGCGTGTTTTGGCGTGTTGTGACGAAGGGTGAAATGAGCGTACACATTTACACCACCTATTGACTTGGTGTAAATTCTGTGTGTACCGTACGCTCACTTCCAGATTGATAAATGCGGAAAAGTGTAATTTTTTTGCGTACGCATCATTTACACCCTGATTTGGCCGTACGCAAGTTTCATACATGAGGCCCAGTGTGAGGATAATTTTATCTTTATATTTTCTTTTGGATGCTTTGGTCTGGCCGTTCTCCCCCTGTGCTGCTGAGCCCTTCTTCTATGAGCTGCTAAACACCTTTTTGTTACCGGTCGCTCCATTTTTTTCACCTGTAGGCATAAATTAATACATTTTAACTATTGGCCCAATATATCTGTCAACTGTTTGACATAATATAGCATATATATCTTCAAACATGAATAAACTCACCTCTTCAGGAGTGCGTGTTATAGGCCCCACGCTGTTTACAGATGCTGCCATCTCTTTCCATATTTTCTTTTTTGAGCCCCTTGATGCCAATTTTGAGGCTTCCAAATAGAAAGACTATTCTCTTTCCCCACTTCGTTCATAATGGTCTCAATCTCCTTCTCCGTGAAGTATTTTTCCTTAGCCGTTTACTCACTAACCTGTGGCAGACCCTGCGCCTGATGTTTTGCCTCATTCACCTCTGGCAAAGCAATGTGGGGTTTCCTTAGTTTTGTAAAGCCCCATAAATGCACCTGATCTTGCTCAAAACTGTCTCAGCCACTGCCCTGTACTCCATCCATCCATCCATTTTCTACCCTATAATCCATTTCCGGGTCAGGGGGGTGGCAGTCAGAGATGCCACCCAAGTCTCATAGCACCAGCCCCTCACTGACCCTCTGCAGGTGGTGAGTCCACAGGAGGACGGCTGCTCTCTGAGTGTGAGCATAGCCTTGATCTTTCAGTGGGGGCTTTGGGCAAAGTGGGGTTAAGTGTCTTGCCCAAGGACACAACGACAGCAGTCATCAGTGGAGAAGGTGCAGAGGTGGGTGCAGAGGTGTACTCCGCATAGCAGAAATAGGATGCAACGCGCATGTGGAAACTGGCTCACGGGCAGTATAGTTCATTCATTCGTTTATTTATTTATTTACGTCGAAATTTCAGGAGAGATGAGTGCTGCAGATGGTCTAGACACTAGGGAAAAAAGTGTATATATAATATAGCGTATTTATTTTCAAACGTGAATAAACTCAGAAGTGCGTGCTTTTTGAGGCTTCCAAACACTCTTCTTAGCTGAGTTCCTGCTGACCTGTCGTAAAGACGGGGCGTGATCAGGCGGTTTCTGAATATTTATAGGCGTGACTTTCATAAATACGCTGTTTTTGAGCGCGGCATTTATTAAACAGCCGCAGGTGCGTACGCTCAGATCTGTGCGGATCTCACACGTTCATAAATGCCACGTCGGATCTTGCGTATCTGGAATCTACACCCAAAATTTACACCTTTTTTCTGCGCAATTTTTATAAATGAGGGCCAATGAGAGCAGCTGGCATCACTGTAATTTCCTTTGGGATCAATAAAGTTTATCTTATTTCAGCAAAAGGGGGATCCACAAGTATTAACTCATGCTGTAGGTCCAACATTTTGCAAAATGATACACGAGCAGTGTTACCATGGCGGCGCATGAACATGCTGCGGCTTCTCGCTCTCTTGACAAGGTGACGTTTCTACCCTTTTTTGCAAACTGCATTTGTAGTTTTTGTGATCCGCATTGTTTTGCAAGATGTTGTTGTACATCTTTGCCATGTTTTTGTGGAGTTCAGCAGATTTTTTACTGCCAAATCTCTTTGCTAGCAATGAACAGAGGATGTGTTTTTAAAAGTAAACACACAGTTAGCATCTGAGCTAAAGGCTTTTTGAGGAGTATTTAAGACCTACAAATCCAGAGATATCATCTTCTGAAGTGCTGACAGGTCACCGAGGGCCCCACGCATCTGCAGCACAGTGGAGGCGTCACAAGAGGCGTTACAGGAGTCCCGGCCTCCGTTGTGTGCAACTTCTACAGAGGGACTGTAGAGAGCATCCTGACCAGCTCCATCACTGGGTGGCACGGCACCAGCACTGCCTCCTGCGCATCGTGAGAGCAGCAGAGAAGATCTGTGGAGCCCCTCTCCCCACCATTAAGGACATGTACTCCACCCGTCTCAGCCGCAAAGCCGTCAGAATCACCAGGGACCCTACGCACCCATCACACAGGCTCTTCAGGGTAATGCCTTCAGGGAGGAGATTGCAGAATTTACGGAACAGTTCCAGTCGACTGAAAAACAGTTTCATTCACAAGGCCATCAGGAAGCTGAACTCCCTGCCCTCCCTCCGTCCATCCCTCTTCCCCCACCCCCCGCTCCACAATCAAGGATGAGAGAAATATAATTTCAAACCATTCACTTGGTTTGACAAATAAAAATCTTGAAATGATTCTGTTACTGTAAAAATAAAACTTAATTTATGGTTGGAAACCTGACATGTGCAAAAGTTCAAGATGTATTAGTACTTTTGAGAGACACTACACACAGGCTGTTTGCTTCGCTTAAAGGAGCTATTCCCATTTCTGCAATGTTTTCCATTTGAATGTATACCACCGCCCCCCAATTCGCTCACAGGCTTCTCATTACCCCTACGCTCTCATCCCACGAAGCCATCTAGTTTTATTTGCGATCTGATACCTATGCAAACATTGTGTTCATTCAGTGCGTTTGTCTCGTGCTTCCATATTCACAGTGAAATGAGGCAGATTTTTGCCAAAAGGATGCCAACTTAAAGCAATTTGGTAATGTTGCTTGTCAACTTTGCCCCGTTGTGAGAAAACAAGTGCACATGTCAGAGGGCGACTGTTGGAAAGTGTGTGTTCTTCTACAAAGGGGGCAGTTACAGTACAGGGCAATTACTCAGCTGCTGTGTGAAAGTTGTATATAAATATTTATGTTGTCTGATTACTTGTGCTTGTTTCAGGTGTGGACGCACTGGTGCACATTTATGATGCATCTCTCTGGGGGGTGGAGCTCCAGCCTGCACACTCTCAGTTTGAACACAAGGGTCACGCCATCTCGTCGCCCACAGATGTCATCACTACTAGTCATGCATGGCACCCAGAACGAGCACACACGCTTTTGTCCGCTGCCAGTGACGCCTCAGTGCATGTGTGGGACTGGAACCACCAATCAGAACCAGGAGGGAGTAGTGGGCCAATCAGAGAGTAGAAAGTGAGAATGGACTACTCTGCACTTGTGGTTATTTTCTACGTGAACAATGATCTGTAGACTGATGTTTGGTCATACATCCCATCATGAGGTCCTTGCGTCAGAGCAGGTGTCAGGGTTAGTCCAGTCCTGCTGCAGCGTTATGTTATTGTGTCCCATGGCAAAGTAGAAGTGTCGTGCAAACATCATCTTCATTGTTGATAAACTATGTTTTGAAACCGTAACTGTACATTGTCATAATGGACTATCACCATTTTATGATGATTGAGTGTTGTATGTCTGGCCTCACTTGTGAAAGGTGGATGCTAATTTGCAATAAGTTCCAATGTGTCAAGACAAAGATAGTGCTCAGTGTTGCAAGCCTAATCTTTGAAAAGAGACCCTAGAGCATCTTACATGGGCCACTTCAAATGGAACAAACTGACATGTCTCTTCTGAAACTTCACTGGATGGAGTAAAGGAGGGAAAAAATAAGGCAAGATTTATAAAAAAATAAAACTACAGTGTCACAGACAACTGAGACACTGCATTTTTATCACCAGATCCATCCACATTTTTTTTTTTAAAGTAACCCACCCATATATAGATATTTAAATAAATTCCTTATTTTTAATCTAAAGAGGGCATAGATAAGAAAATAACATATTTGAAGACAAGTTAGCTTGTCAGAATCACGTTTATGCAGCCTGAAATGAGAAATGCTGGTTACAGTCAAAAACCTTTCAACACTTAATCTGAAAAAAAAAAACTATTCAAAATTAGTCTCAGCTGACTCATTACTTTAGACACATTCAGCTTTCTTTGTTAAACAAGTTTGTTTACAGGCTGCAGATGTGAAAAAACAGAACATATGGACGTCATTTCTTAGTCTGTACATAGAAAACCCAATGCCCAAATTATCATTTACCATGTTATATACCATGTGATAAAAAGAAAGTTTGTCAAAGATTAGACAGGCACACACAATTTTTTTTTAAAAATAAACTCATGTTCCCTTTGTTTCCGAGTCTCAGCATGTCTTAAACTATTCCTTATGATTTTATAATTGCTTGAGTTTAGTGTGATTTGTCCACGGGTTTTGCTCTGTTGGGAGACTTAACCATTGTGGATACAAAGCCATGCAGCAAAAATGGGAATAGGAATAAAAAGCCTGTTAGAAGCATCTGTTCTGACAATACTAAGCTTATATCCAATTTTCAAGTTTTTAGCAGTTTTTAACTTTTTAGAACAAGATGATTTCAGGGGGGCGTTAATGCCATAGACAACTTGTAGCTTTTGTCTGCTGCTTAGAGTTAAAAATATAATATTCAGAGAGGGAAACTAAAATAAAATACAAAAATATGGGTCTAGTTGTAAGTTGTTTTAAATTCATACATCTCTACAGTCTGAAATATTTTTTCAAAACTAATTATCTCCCAAATAAAAATATCAAACTAATTTTAACATGCCCATTATTATAATCTTGTATTTCAATGTTTTGCTGCTGCAAAAAATAATGACAAAACATGGCCAACAACAAACATTGTCTAATGTAGGAAATTTCCTAGTTTTCAATGAATACATCCATCCATCCATTTCTGGGTCGGGGGGGTGGCAGTCAGAGCTGCACCCAGTTCACAGAGCACTCACTGATCCTCACTGATCCTCCTGCAGGTGGTGAGTCCACAGGAGCTGAGATCTTTCAGTGGAGGCTTCAGGCAAAGTGGGGTTAAGTGTCTTGCCCAAGGACACAACGACAGCAGTCATCAGTGGGAAAGTGCGTAGTCAATGAATACATAAACAAACAAAAAAGTCCTCCGTCCCGGAGACAGAGGCTGACAATGTTGGGGCGGATACCTCCATCTTCCTGGCTTAGGTCACCAAGGTGGTTGGCAGCCTCCTTGGTGGCAAGGCGCCGGGAGTGGATGGGATCCGTTCTGACTATCTTAAGTGGATGGTGTAGGACTGTCTCTGCAACATCGCGTGGCTATCGGGGGCGGTGCCAATGGAGAGGCAGACCGGGGTGGTGGCCCCCCTCTACAAAAAGGAGGACCGGAGGGTGTGTTCCAAATATCGTGGGATCATACTCCTCAGCCTCCCTGGTGAGGTCTACTCCAAGGTACCGGAGAGAAGACTATGACCGATGATCAAATCTCGGATTCAGGAGGAGCAGTGTGGTTTTCGATTCCTCCATCGGATACTCGAGGGTTCATGGGAGTTCGCCCAACCTATCCACATGTCCTAAGGTGCCTTGCCCTCTCCAAGTGGGTGGAGAGGTCCTTCCTTAAGTGGAGGAGTTCAAGTATCTCGGGGTCTTGTTCACGAGTGAGGGAAGGATGGAGCGTGAGATTGACAGGCGGATCGGTGCGCAGTAATGCAGTCGCTGTATCGGACCGTCGTGGTGAAAAGGGAGCTGAGCCGAAAGTCAAAGCTCTCGATTTACCGGTCAATCTTCGTTCCCTCCCTCACCTATGGTTATGAGCTTTGGGTAATGACCGAAAGAACGAGATCGCTGATACAAACGGTCGAAATGAGCTTCCTACACAGAGTGGCTGGGCACTCCGTTAGAGATAGGGTGAGGAGCTCGGAGTAGAGCCGTTGCTTCTCCACGTCGAGAGGAACCAGTTGAGGTGGCTCGGGCATTTGTTCCGGATGCCTCCTGGACGCCTCCCTGGGGAGGTGTTCTGGGCACGTCCCACCGGGAGGAGACTCCGGGGAAGACCCAGGACACACTGGAGGGACTATGTCTCTCAGCTGGCCTGGGAACGCCTTGGGGTCCCCCTTGATAAGCTGGAGGAAGTGTGTGTGGATAAGTAAGTAATCTTTTATTTATATACCACCTTTTCACTGCAGATCTGAGTCTCAAAGCGGTTTACAATTGTTAATTTTGGGCATTTGTCTCTCACTCCACACAGAGATGGGAGCGGGGTCGCCAGTACAGGAAGCGCATGCCTCCTGTACTATATTTTTAGTGGTAGGGGAAACCGGAGTACCCGGAGGAAACCTACGCAGACACGGGGAGAACATGCAAACTCCACTCAGAAAGGTCCTGGTCCGACCGGGATTCGAACCCAGGACCTTCTTGCTGAGAGGCAAGAGTGCTATTCACTCAGCCACCGTGCCGCCAGGATAAGGAAGCCTGGGCCTGTCTGCTTAGACCGCTGCCCCCGCGACCCGGCAAAGGGATAAAGCGGAAGAAAAATGGATGGATGGATGGACATTCAAAAACATGTAAAAATCAAGATAATCTGCATAAATGAATTTCCACTTAATCTTTTTCCCTACCGTCGAGTAGATATTCCTTGTAGCGTAAAAAGGTTGAATGACCACATTGTATGAACTGAAAGTCTTTCAAAACCCTTCCTTGTCTTCAATGTAAATGCAAGTCAACATAAAGCTAAGAAGTCATAAAAGCCTATAGACACCCAAAATCCCCTGGAGTCTTTTAACCCAACCCAAGTTCTAATCCTGCTTTAGGATTGGATTAAATGGTTTTGAAAATTGTAAATTTTCCTTTGTAAGAAACATCATGACATTTAATCAAATTAATAATTGGGTTTGGGTTTCCAAGCTATTTTCGGCCTTTCCCACTAACTGTTCAAAACCTCTGATGTGAAGAATTCCCCAGAAGTTTGTGTATTCTTTTTGTTTCAATGCTAACTTCTATAATCTACCAGATGTTATCAGGTGTTATAAAAGTCATTCTTTCAAAATCACTGGTTCATTAAGAGCATCGATTATGTTACTCCATTTGACTGTCACCAAAAGATTCTGCTCTTGCTCCTTCCAGTGCATTATAGCCAAAATTGACAAAATCAAGAGAAAATAGTTAGAATTACTGACCAGCTATCTAAGCACAAAATAGTTACATCAAAAGTAAAAGTGTGCAATATCTATTTTCTGCCTACTCTGAAGTGACATCTCTCCGACCAGAAGGAATATTAAATGGGTCCACGTCTTAATTTGAAAGTCTCAACATATTAGTACAAGTTGTTTCTGGTGTGTATTCCAACCCAACAGTGGAAATGTACATTGCAGCCATAGTCCATGGTGACTATACTGTACACCTATTCCATGACAATGCTGGGTAAAGTACAGCCCATGCTCTAGTCGCTGCTATCGTCGTCCTCTTCCTCCGATGCCACGCCGCCGTTGTTGTTGAATGCATCTTGTCTGATGCGCTGTGCCGTGCCACCGTTACCTTCGGTGAGTGCGTTGTAGCAGAAGTCACACACTCTCACGGGCCGAGATGACTGACTGGGTAGCAGGTATCGCTTTTCGGAGCAGGGTCCACACACCACCATACCGCACTTCCTGCAGTGGTGGCGCCTGGTGACTGCGGTGAACTTGGCCTTCTGACAGCGCATGCACACAGACGCCTCTGAGTCCGGGACCCAGACTGCCGCGTGCTCGCCTGTGGAGGGACAGGACATCAGAATCCACAACAAAATTATCCAGTGTGTGTTGAGGGTGAAAAATACTCCAAACTCAAAAACGAATACACCACTTTAGTTTGCCCCTTCTGTACACCACAAGCTGCACAATATTATAGGAATATCCAGGTGATTCCTCAGATAAACATTGCAGAAACTATCCAGTTTGTGCTTTCTCTTTACAAATTTACATTTACATTACATACACAAAAAAAAAAGACAATATTTTAGAAAATGTATTTTGATTACGTCTTTGAACCTTTTGAACACGTCATTGACAAATGAGGACAGATGAAGAGGATTTTCTCTGAAACTGACTTTTATTGTCATTGACAACAGATTCTTTTTTTTTCTGGGTTGTTTAACCCTTGTGCTTTCCTAGGGTAATATTGACCTGCCGCAGTGATTAAAAGTAGCCCCTTATAGGTCAAAGTGACCCAGGACAGGTCAATTAGGTTAAAATCATCAAAATTCAGTATGAAAAAAATGTGCGGGTCAAAAAGTTAAAAATGTAGGTTACACAAGCTAAAAAAAAAGTTTATATTTGAAAGGTTTGTGATTACTTATAAAAATAAACGTGACTTGACGCGAGTCCACCGTGTCATAACTTAATTTTGACAGGTGTTTGTTAAATTTTAGGGCCGGGACTTTAACGCGTTAATTAAAATTAATTAACGGAAAAAAAATTAGCAAGTTATAAAAATGTACGCATTTTAATTGCATGTGTTTTTTTGCAGCGCGGAACGTTCCTTACTGGATGAGTTTCAGTCGGACCGGATTGAACTGGAGTCTAGACTCGAGCTCCGTGACTTTTCTTGTTCAAAAGTACATTATAACAAGCATAGACCAACTTTAGCGGTGTCTAACGCCCCGACTCCACCGGGCGCGTAAAACGGACGACGGATCCGTCCAAACATGTCCGTTTCATCTCCGTCTCCGTTATCTCCATGAGGGTGAATGGAAGTGGCTCCACTGCCTCCGCATGCGTCCGTCAACGGAGGGTGCAACGGATGCGGACGGAAATAGAAACAATTCCGTTTTCCGTTGAAAATACAATGGAATAATATATTGATATATGCTGTAGTCCTTAGTTATAAATATTTGTTAATGACAATGAATATTAACAAACGTGTGTAATTTTTTTCATGTATTAATTTAAATTGTTTCCTGATCGTACATCTACCATTTATTTTTCGCGTAATGTTAATACGTTAATCTTTACATACATCTCGCTCTTTTTTTCTCTTGCTCTGTCCCCTCTACCTGCGAGGCGCTCTCTCCTCACCGCACACACACAGAGCTACGGTACTTATGAGAGACAGATCTCACAACAACACTGGATATGTTAGAGTTCTTTTCTCTTTTCTCTCTCCCCTTTTTCCAATTGCTTTCAATAAGTTGCACCTCATTCATCGCGACGTCCTCAATGCTTCAATATGCTGTGCTTTGCATAGATCATAGCCACAGCTCATACACATACACATCACCGCTTCTATTTAAAACTATAGCGGCTGCCTGTTGCCTAAAGCCGCGGAGAGGCGAGTTGGGTCCGATAAAAGTGTATGACGCGCTAAATAAGTAGAAAACAAACGAAGAGGCTGGATCATAATAATCGCTGCGGTCACAGGCCCAAACACACATGCACGCACACACACGCGCCTCCCACCACACACACAGGCGCTCTCACGCACACATGCACGCCGACAACACATGACTCCTCCATCAGCCAAACATTCATTTATTCACACATTGCCCAAACGTGTCTCCTACAAAAACAAAGCAGGCTGATAAACGCACAGCCAGAGCTGCGCGCTGCTGCAGCCGGTTTGACCACTAGTCTTTTTTACGGACGTCCGACGGACAGCAGCCAACGGAGACGCGCCCGGTGGAGTCCAGGCCTAAAGCGAGTTAGAGACGGGAAAGGGCGCGTGTGTGTGTGAGGAGGAGCAGCGAGCGACTCCTGTGTGAGCGGAGGAGGAGCAGCGACACAGGTGTGTGTGCTGCTATTGCTGATGTTTTAATTTGAATGCACACATCAAAAACGTATAATAAGCTTTAGTGCTCACTGTGAGTGCAGTGGATTTTGAGCTTAAAAAGCGTATGTTGTGGACAGAGTGTGTGGAGGCGATGACAGATACTGTAAGTTATTTGATGGGAAAGAAGTCCGTCTGATCCCCTTATCCACAATGAACATGAGTTTAAGCTTACGTATTCAGTAATCATTCAAAGGTAAACTAATAATCCATGTGAAAAAAAATTACTTCTCACTGTTCTCAGGACAAATATTTATATGCGATTAAAATGCGATTCATTAATCAAAGCCTCTAATTAATTAGGCCCGAGCACCGAACGGGGCAAGGGCCTATTGCTTTCACAATGGTGAATGCAAATGGTGGCGGTGCGTGACGGACGCGTCAGTGTGCATAAACTTAAACGCTTTAAAATGATGTATCACGTGCCATTGAAACCTATATTGTTTTTGCTCGAGTTGGCGGAAATGTTTTTTCCTTATTAGGCCCGAGCCCCGAACGGGGAAAGGCCCTATTGTTTTTGCTCGAGAGATGTCAAATTCTGCACTTTGAGCCTTAATTTGACCCCCTGAACATGCATGAAAAGCTGTAAAATTTTGCCCAAACATTAGACCTGGTGAAAAATTTGATATTTTGGTGTTTATTATTATGGGACTCAAAAAATGCCAGAACAGCGGCACCTACAATAGCCAATGGTCGTTTCAGAGGTCAAGTTTGTCGTAGAGCCATGAAATTCGGTACACATGTTCCTTAAGTCAAGATAAGATTTTTTTTTTTATTATGGCCCCGCCCTCCGACAAATAGGAAGCCCATGAATTTCACTGCAAAATGGAAAAATGAACAGCCATAGTTTTCATACATGTCGGTTGGAAATCTCCTCCTCGGCCGTTTCAGCGATTCGCTTTTTTTTCGCTAGTTTTTTTTGGCAGTTTTTGACACTATTAAATTAGCTCTCGTTTGCACAAAACTTTGATACATTGTTCAAATCTAGTGTCTAGGTCCTTTGAAAGTGAAATAATTGAACTTGGCTCATTAGCGCCCCCTACAGATGGGGTCAAAGTTTTTAGTATGGGAGCGTTTCGTGGTCAAGTTTGTCGTACAGGCATGAAAATTGGTACACATGTTCCTCATCTCAAGACATGAAATAAAAGTTGTTATGGCCCCGCCCCCTGACAAACAGGAAGCCCATCAATTTCACTTCAGAATGGACAAATGAAAAATGATCCTTTTCACAAAGCGAAAGCCGTGAAAGGCCGTTTCACCGATTGGCCTCAAAATCGCTCCACATCATCTCAACACATGAACCATCAAAATGACTTCAGGGATTTTTGATCAGTGAAACAATGTATTAGCAGCGGAGTGGCAAAATGTGACCTATCTTTTTCCATTATGTATGAACGAAAAATAGCTTTCGATTGCACAAACAAAGTCTGATTTGCACAAAACTTGAATCAATTGTTCAACTCCAGGTCATGTGAAAGTGAAATATTTGAAATTGGCCCATTAGCGCCCCCTACAGACTGAGGCAAAGTTTTATATTGGGAACCAAACCAACTCAACTGATCATATTATTACAATTTCACAAACTTTCTTTTATGGCTACGGGACCAAATCATGGCGCGGCGGCGCCACCTCCAATATGCGGTGCGGGGCGGCGTTGTCTGAGGCGGCGTGGTGCGGGGCGTCTTGGTGCATTGTGGCGTGGTGCGGGGCGGCGTGGTGCGGGGCGGCGTGGGCCATTCGACGCTGCTTACAGCTTTAATTAGATACACATTTTTAATCGAGTCCCGGCCCTACTAAATTTACAAATTGTGCATTTTGTGAAATATTTGAAACACTGAATTGTTGCATGATGTAGGGTAAGAAAATATCAGTATCTGTAAGGCAACAAGATATATACGTATCTTAGATCCAGCGTATACTTTGGGTACACTTTGGATCCAAAATACACATTATTTACTTGGATTGAAAATTGCCTTACATTTACTTTTATGTGTGCTTACTCTAAGAGTTGTCTAATTAGACTAATACAGAGATGGTTCTATCTGAAAAGAGGGGAAAGAAAAGTCTTAAGACCTAACTAAAGAATAAGCAGGATCAGCTCAGTCTCATTTAATCAGAAAGTGTGCGTTCTATTCGTCAGAGAGTTCATCCTTCAAACCAATAAACTAACTAATATTAATGATCAATAATGTTTTATTTTTTCCATTTTGAATTGAAATGTATGGGCTTCTTTTTTGTCAAGGGGCGTGGCCATAATAACTTTTTTCATGTCTTGACTTGAGGAACATGTGTACCAAATTCCGTGACTCTACAACAAACTTGACCTCGGACCCCTCGGATTTTGTAGGGGTACGTTTCTGGCATTTTCTTAGTCAGTAATTTTTCACTGGGTCTGTTTTTTTGGGCAAAATTTGGCAAGTTTTCGTTCATGTTCAGGGGGTCAAATTAAGGCTCGAAGTGCAGAAGAAAAGAGAAATTAAAGCCGCAAGCGGCGTCAAACGGCCCTCGCCGCACCGCGCGACTCCCCGCACCGCACCACGCCACATCTTGCCGCACCACGTCTCCCCGCACCACACCGCCCTGCACCATTCCGCCTCTCACCACGTCGCCGGGCACAACGCCGCCTCACACCACGCAGCCTCACACCAGGCCGCCCTGCACCAAGCCGCATCGCGCCACGCTGCCTTGCACCAAGCCGCATCGCGTCACTTTTACATGACCTAGATCCTAGAGTTGAACAATGTAATAAAGTTTTGTGCAAATCAGACTTTGTTTTTGCAAATGGAAGCTGTTTTTTGATCGTAAAAAAATGGCAAAAAAGGTCACATTTTGCCGCTCCTCTGCTCGTACATTATTCCACTGATCAAAAATCCCTGAAATCATTTTCAGGGTACATGTGTTGAGATGATGTGGAGCGATTTTGAAGCGAATCGGTGAAACGGCCGAGG